ACACACACACACACACACACACACTCAGAGGTGAACACACACACACACACGCACGCACATTCAGACAGAGGTGAACACACACACACACGCTCAGACAGAGGTGAACACACACACGCACACTCAGACAGAGGTGAACACACACACACACACACACACAGACAGATGCAAACACACACACACACGAAGAGATGAACACACACACACACACACACACACACACACACACACACTCAGACAGAGGTGAACACACACACACACAATAGAAGTGGAACCTGAAGGCTTGTTTTGGAGTGTCCTTCACACAAAATAGATAAAGGCTACGTAAGTGTGTGATAGCTAAACCCTACTCTAAATACCAATCATGTGCATCTCAGTCTAAAATGTTTAATTTTTGAATGTATCAGATTTTGTTGGAAAACACCTGTTAAACAGTCTCTGTGTGTGTGTGTGTGTGTGCGCGCAGTGTGGGACGAACAGAACGTTCTGCATTACAGGCTCTGAGGATGCAGCTGTTCGCACACAAATCTGCCCTGATCCGAGAGTTTCAGGAATACGACCCACAGCGCACAGGTACCGGACACACACACTTCAGAAGAGCAATTCCCAGCATTGTTCTCCCTAATCAAACCTGAATCAGCTGACCAGGATTGTGTTTCCCAAAAGGGAAAACCTTTTGGGAAACACCCCCCAGGGCTGCACTTCTCAAACGCATCGTGAGCTAGGTTGATCTCAGAGACCATTAGTGGCAATGGTTATACAATACACTTATGATGCGTTTGGAAAACACAGCCCAGATCATCAGTAGAAGACTTGAGACCTGAAATGGGTTAGTGATGTAAAAGAGATGTTCAGAATGAGCGTATATGGTCATGTTTAGCACTGGATGTGTGTGCGGTCTCAGGTGTGATCTCTGTGAAGCACTGGGCCCTGGAGGGTCCTGATGTCTCAGCTGGTGACCAGCAGCGCTCAGGACGGGACGCTCAACTATCAGCACTGGGTCGTCCAGCCCAACACCGAGGTGAGCTCAGAGGAAACAGATCACCTTCACCACTCTGATGCAAGCGCATACGCTTTCAGAAGCCTTTTTCTTTAGGGTTTAGAGTTTGATGTGTTCAGGTCTGATATCATTCGAGGAGTTTCGTCAGACGTAGAAGCTGCTGAGCTCTCACCTGCAGACGGACATCAGTGATAAAGCCATCTCAGATCTGGCCGAGAGCACTGACTTCAACAAGGAAGGACGGAGCATTCTAGAGCCGAGACGGACGCGCCGGCGTCGCCCGAGTGAGCGCAGGACCGTCAGAGCCAACAAACTGACCGGAAACACGTCTGAATAGCTATGTTTCCATCCAAAGATGTGAATATAACTTATTCACAAAACTGCAATATCGCATAAAACGTGCGACTAAAGCACCGTTTCCATCCAACGAGTCAAAGAGAACAAAATCGTCACTTCCTGATAAATCGGCACTAAACACCATGAAGACAAGTGGAAGAAGCCACTAAATATAATAATTTCCATATATTATAAATTGGTTGCGCATCAGAGCGAGCATATGAAACAATAAATGTGGTTAATGCTTTCGGAGGTGGATGCTGCTGTTTGGGAACGCAGTCGTGTAAAACAATTATACAGAAATACTTTGACGAGAGACTTTCCTCAGGCGTTTAAGAATGATCAGAACATTTCAGATGCTGTGAATGAGATCGGTCCGCTGGTTAGTCGAGTTATCCCGTCTCATCACGCAATGTCACATCACTTTTGATGCGCATGGCAGAATTCATTCGGTAAATGTGTTTACATTGTAATTTATGCACATTTTCTCTTATCAGATAAAAAGTTTGTTCTACTCTATGGTGCGCATAAGTTTTTTTATGCGATATTCCAAAATGTGCATAAAAATAGGTGGATGGAAACATAACTGCTGTTTGCTTGGGTTTTACTCTAGTAAAGACAATAGCATTTTCAGTGCTTTAACTCTCATGAACACTCATTAAATCAAACCCATGAAATTCATACAGTGAAGCTTTATTAATCAATCATAGACACAGTAAAACATTTCATCTGAACAAAGGCACACATTCACACGCGCAAGTAAAAATAAATGTGCCGCTCCAACACAAAGTGATCGGTGTCACCATCCGCTGTTTCGGTCTCATTTCTTTCTCACGTTCAGATGTTAGAGAGGGTTAGAGAGGGCTCTCTGACCTGCGTCAGCTGAGTTTGCTGCTGCGTCCGTGAACGCTGTCGTGAAGCCCGTCTTCTATCGTCTTGATGTCGTCCAGATCGTCTTTAATGATGCTGATCAGGTGACTCAAACCCTTCTGCTGGTGCTTCAGATGCTGAAAACAAAACACATCCTTCAGTTAAAGACAAACCGAACAGAGCACTTTTATTATCTATGGTTCAAAATAAAGCCTGCACACTCACACACTCACACACACACACACTCATACACTCACACACACACACAGGTTTGTTTTTGTGAAAAGTGGGGACTCTCCATAGGCGTAATGGTTTTTATACTGTACAGACCGTATATTCTATTGCCCTACACCAACCCTACCCCTAAACCTACCCCTCACAGGAGACTTTCTGCTATTTCAGATTTTCAATACACTCCATTCTGTGTGATTTATAAGCGTTTTGAAAAGTGGGGACATGGGGTAATGTCCTGAAAAGTCACCTTCTCCTTGTAATACCTGTCATACCTTTGTCATTATACACATTTATGTCCTCATTTGTCACAAAAACGCGTACACACACACACTCCAATCATCACACACACACACACCCCAATCATCACACTCACCCCAATCATCACACACACACACACACACACACACACACACTCACCCACCCACCCACCACACCAGCGGTTAGAGTCCTTACCAGGTCAAGAAAATATGATCATATTACCCCAATTTTACAGTCTCTGCACTGGCTACTATTAAGTTCCGTATCACCCTCACCCTCTATCCCCCCTACTGTTTCTCAACCTGTACTCAAGATCTGTGAAGAGGATGTATGCAAAGTCTTCAGAAAGCAGAAGATAAGGAAAGCTAAAGGCCCAGACGGTGTCTCTCCAGCCTGCCTCAAAGCCTGTGCTGTCCAGCTATCATCCATCTTCACATTGATCTTCAACAGATCCCTGGAGCTGTGTGAAGTCCCCTCCTGCTTCAAACGCTCCACCATCATCGGGTGGAGGACCGTACAGGACCCAAGAAACCAAAAATCACAGGACTTAATGACTACAGACCTGTTGCTTTAACATCTGTGGTCATGAAGTCATTTGAGAGACTGGTCATTTGGTGCTGGCCTACTTGAAGGACATTACTGGACCCTTGCTGGACCCCCTGCAGTTTGCTTACCGAGCAAACAGGTCTGTGGATGATGCAGTCAATATGGGACTGCATTACACTGACAAACCAGCGTCTTATGCAAGGATCTTGTTTGTGGACTTCAGCTCCGCGTTCAACACCATCATCCCAGACACCCTTCAGAATAAACTGACCCAGCTCTTGGTACCCACCTCCGTCTGTCAGTGGATCACCAGCTTCGTGACAGACAGGCAGCAGCTAGTAAAGGCTAGGAAAACTCACATCCAACACCTGCACCATCAGCACTGGAGCTCCTCAGGGATGTGTTCTCTCTCCACTGCTCTTCTCCCTCTACACCAACGACTGCACGTCTAAAGACCCCTCTGTCAAGCTCCTGAAGTTTGCAGACGACACCACACTCATCGGCCTCATTCAGGATGGTGATGAGTCTGCTTACAGACAGGAGGTCGAGCAGCTGGCTGTCTGGTGCAGTCTCAACAACCTGGCGCTCAACACGCTCAAAACTGTGGAGATGACCGTGGACTTCAGGAGAATCCCCCCTGCACTCCCCCCACTCACCATCATGGACAGCACTGTGACTGCAGTGGAGTCATTCAGGTTCCTGGGCACCACAATCTCTCAGGACCTGAAGTGGGACACTCACATTGACTCCATTGTGAAAAAGGCCCAGCAGAGGTTGTACTTCCTTCGTCAGCTGAAAAAGTTCAACCTGTCACAGGCGCATATGACACAGTTTTACTCCGCTATTATTGAGTCGGTTCTGTGCTCCTCTATAACTGTCTGGTTTGGGTCAGCCAGCAAATCAGATACAAGAAGACTGCAACGGACTGTTAGGACAGCAGAGCGGATCATTGGTGTGCACCTGCCCAGTCTTCAGGACTTGTACATCTCCAGAGTGAAACACTCACTCACTCACACACTCACTCACTCTCACACTCTCTCACTCACACACTCACTCACTCTCACACACTCTCTCAAAACAGCATTGTCCAGCTTTTTTGTCAAGTTATTAGTTTGATGCACCTCACCAAACCAAGTGAAAAATGACCATGAATAACAAACAGTAACACTTAAAAAAAAAAAAAAAAAGCTTGGTCGTTTTAACATAAATTTTCAGTCTTGTTTTCTCTGTAGGCTAATATGTCAAATGTTCAAACGCTGCTTTTAGTATTTCAAACTTGTCTTTCAGCCCGTGTGTCCGATTTTAATCTCAAAGTTAATGATCTACTTAAGTTTTGGAGGGAAAATACACATTTTTCCATATTTGACCATTTCAACAGATGTCCTTAATTATTTTTGGTCATTGTGGTATAGAGACAACAGAATTCCACAACAGTTCTCACAAGGCAAAAAAAAAAAAAAAAAAAAAAAAAAAAAAAAAG